GTCAAAACCGCAATCGCTGCCCCAGACCCAGAACCCTGCTCTCGCAACAATCGCATCTCCTCAGCAGACACTTGCAACAAGTAACGCCAGAAAGCCTGCAACTGGACGCGCTGCTCAGCCAAGTAACACTGGGCCGTCTCTGCAGTTTCCTGTACGCAGGACAGTTCACGGGAGACTGCTGCCTTTGCAGCAACATCAGCAGCTTCATTCCCAGCTGCAACCCACTGCTCCATGCCGGAAAGGGCAGCAAGGTTCTGGTGCGAAGCGACCTTACGCAGTCGGGCCAAATGCAACGGCAGTCGCCCAAGAATGGCTCCCAAGTCCGGCCAGGTGGAGGGCAGCCCATTTCGGGTTCGCGCAACCTCACGTATTGCGAAGGCACTGTCGGACCAGATTTCACACTCCGTTGCTTGCATCTGCACAGCCAGCCGCAAGGCTTGGATGATGGCGCAGAGCTCTGCTCTGTTGATGGACTGCACGCCTGGCACCAGTCCCTGATGGAGAATCCGGAACTCGCGCGGGGGAGTCCCCGAGGAACGCCACTTGGCCAGAAGCGCCGGTATGCAATCATCACTAGGGCTGGTGTCGAGCAGGACAGCGAAGCCTGCAAAGCTGGCATCCGGGAAAGTGGGGTACCTGCAGGACCCGTCGGTAAAGAAACGCAGGAACGGGCGAGGACCAATGGCCTTTTGATCAATCCCTGTCGTCTGCGGCAACAGCAGGTCACGTGTGGCGAATATGAGGCGGTTAACCTCAAGTCCACCCGGCATGGCTGCGTAGGGGGCATGGATCCAGTGGGGCCAGTCCTCACTGACCTTTTCCAGTAGCTCTGCGCAGGGTGCCCGCACATGTTGGAGTTTGGGGCAGTGTAGGAACTTGTGCGCCTTGGTCTGCTTTATCCCGCAAAGTGGGCACTCTGCCGGTATCTCTGGCTCCCACTGGTTCTTGCTGGCAGCTGAAGAGAAAGCACCAGTTATATGCCTGGTCAGAATCATCTGGTCTTTGGCAGAAAACGACTGGAGGAGGCGCCCGGTTTCAGCAGTATGCACTTCTGGCGCGTTGTGGAGGCCATTCCTGTGGGATACCTGCTCCTGCACATGCCGCGACCAGGACCTTTGCAAAAGGCTATGGAGCTCCTTTCTGTGGCAGGCAGTCACATCAACCCAAGTATTATCCAGCCCCTTAAGCAAACCAGAGGAACTTAAAGACAGGCCCAATCGGTCAAGTGAAATACGCAACGCTGTAGCCGGCCCATGACACACGCGGTGCGGGGGGTCCAGGGCCGCAAGCTCCAGAACTGAAAGGGCCAAGTCAGCATCCTGCTGGCTGACTCTACGCAAGACCTGAAGCTGCTGCTCCAAACAATACAATTGCGGATCTTGGCAGGACGATGAGATGGAGGCCAGGGCGAGGAAAGGGGACATAACTTTGTATTGGCCAACAATGGTACGCGCGGCACTCCCCCGCAGCTTCCGGAAATCTGCCAACGAAAAGGCATGACCCTCGGCGCCGTACAATGTGGCCGTCCACACTCCCCGTTGTATCATCGAGGCTTTGAGAGAAGGACTGCGCGGCTGGTTGCGCAGGCGCTCGAGTCTGTCGATGCCATCCTGTATGCGGGCGTTGCGGGACACTGCATGAATGCGGCCGTCAAACTTGAAAGCAACTCCCAAGTCACGCACCTCAGAAACATTGTGGACCTCGGCACCTTGGGGGAAAACCCGGTTATGAGCCTTCTTCCACCATGCACGACCAGCTGCATTGGTGGACCAAGTGTAGGACTTAGTCCAGTCAACAGGCAAGGACAAAGCCTCAAGGAAACCCAAAGCTTTAGGAAGAGCGTCTTCCAACCCCGTCGTGCTCGGGCCGGACCAACTCCAGTTGTCAACATACGTATCATAGTCGACGCCTGCGGTGCGGCAGGCTTCTTCGGCGAAGCAACACACTCCTGCTAAGGCGGCCACACTCAACGGATCACCCTCAGGGGCACCATTGAAGCACTTAGTACCCTTGGAGAGGTCACCCAGGAAACTCGTATGGCGTCGAAGCTTACGGAGGCAGTCGATCCAAAAGTGAACGACCGGGCCAGGCACGCCCAGGCGGACCAGCAGGCCTTCAATGGCAGGCCAGCCGAGCTGGTTGAAGCACTTGATGATATCAAGGGAAAAGCCGTGGCGAGGGGTGCCAGTGAGCAGGGCGCGCTCAATCCAGTGCTGCTGCCGGTAACTCAGGTCACGGCAGGCCTTGCCCGGCATGGAACCCATGACAGCGGGCGGGAAGGTTTGACTCCAGGCTTGCAGTATCTCACGTGTGACGACAGAGGCCCAGACTCTATAGAGAGTGCTAAAGACAGTGATGGGACGGCTCTGCTTTATGTGCGAAGGGCAGTGAACCTTTGCCAGCACACACACCCGGGCTTGCAACATGTACTCCGGTAGGCCATACAGCACAGCGGCTTGAAAGATAGCACTCAGTATCTCAAGCGCTTGGTCAGGCAGCAGCTTTAAGTCAGTCGGGGACCAGCCGCAAACGCCAGTAGCCTTTCGGGCAGGCATGCGACGTATCGCTTCACGCCACTGCTCCGGTGAGCACTGCAAGTGAACCTCAGGGAAGGAGAGCGCCGAGCGGGCAAGGAAAGCCTGCAGCTGGGGCCAGGACGAAATGTCTGCACTACGCTGCCCCTTGTCTCTTTGCCACAACGGGCACCAGAAGCCTTCGAAGGCGGCATGCAGCTCGGGCGCCGTACAGGCTATGTAGCTTTGCTCAAGAAGACCGGCAGGCGGTAGGCACTGTCCGCGAAGGACAACTGCATCCGCCGTGGCTTGTTGAACGATGCACTCCTGACCTTGTAGCTTTGCCGGGAGGCCGCACACAAAGAGGGCGGCCGAGCTGAGTGCGTACACTACATCATCATGTGAGCCTCCGGTAGAGACCTGCTGCACCTCAGCACTCGCTGAACTTGGCACTTCCGTGAACGGAGGGTTGGGCGCTGCACTCATGGCCCGAAAACCTTGTCGATTGCCTCCAACCTCTGCATCAATGCTGACCTGACTCAGAAAGTCATCCTTGCGCCTGCGGGCCTCCTGTCTTGCAGTGCAGTCACAGTCATAGCGGACATAGGCAACAAGGTCACTAAGCCAATCGGCCGGCGGGAGGTCAAGGTGAAATTCATGGAAGCACGCAACATCCAGGACCCAACTAGGGAAGGCAGGACCATAGCCGTGGGCTTTGACAATTGCCCGCCACTCAGCTCGGAGCTGAGAGGTGCAACTTGGCGAGGGTGGAAGCCCGATCTGCTTGGCTTTTGCAAGGCCGCGCTGAAAAGTTATGAGCCGTCGCACCTGTCGCACTTTTAGCCGGGCCAGCACAGAAGTGACCTCCACATCCGGTGTATAGCCACCCTCCCGGTCGGGGCGGCACATGACAGCGGCCTCCTTTTTAACTAACTCCCTAGGGCAGCAACGGCCACGGTACTTGCGGGGAAGATGGGCGAGGGGTTGTTGCACGGGATCAAGCGCATGCTGTTTGGCAAGGGCAGCGCCAACCGAGGCCTCAGCTGCCTGAGAAAACGCCTGCAAAGCTACTCCCACCTCCTCAAGGGAGCTGCACCTGTGAGCCTCCCGAAGCAAACCTGGGGCATGGGCGGCGAAGGCATCCGAGAAGGCCTGCGGTTTCACTGCGAGTGGAGCCCAAGAGCAAGGCAGGCGCCACACCCTAGTACACGGGCGATGTTGGCACAGCTGCAGCCGAAAACACAGTGGATTGTGGGAATCAAAGAGTTGGCGGTCAACAACCCAAGCCTCCCTCCAGAACTGAACCAAGGCAGGATGCAAGAGAGCCGAGTCATGGCGGGTGCTGCCTCTGCACGTCGGCGGGAGCTCCTGGCCCGTACGGTTGTGGTGGAGGTCGAAAATGTCCCGGTACCCTTGGCCCTGAAAAGCCTGACCTGCCGGGCAATCAAATGGCCGGAGATTAAAATCACCTGCCACGATACACGGCACCTGGTTTTGCGCTGCACGGTGGAAGGCATGCTGGAGGAGGCCATTCGTGCGCTCCCTTGCATCGGGCTCAGAGAGCGGGACCCCGTATATAACCAAAACACGCACCTCCAGCGCCCCGAGCCTAACAAAGGACTCCATCAAGCGGCACGTGGCGCTCACTTCTGTCGGCAGCGGAGGATTTGACGAGCGGGAGGGAAGTTTGGCCGCTAGGGCCACACCTGCTGCAAGGCCACGCATGGTGGGGAGTGTACACTCTGCACGCGAATGCGAGGGCACAGGCGCACCCCAATGTGTTTTGAAGCCCTGTCTCCGGAAAGCAACGGTGGTGACCTGCTGGGCACGTGTCACTGCAGATGTTTCAGAAAAGGTCAACACGTCAGCCTGCAACTCCATGGCGGCGGGTACCTTGTGCAAAATGCTGGTTGGATTGACCACTGCAAAAACACAGGTATCGCTGTCAGTCGGGGCCGCTGGGGCCGCAGGTGCAGGGCCAAAGAAAGTGTGCAGAGTAGGTTGGTGGCTCGGGCCAGGGTTGATTGCCTCACCCACACGCTGCCCACTAAACGGTTTGGGGCGCCAGTAGCCCACACTGCAGGGATCAGGGGGACCCAGGTCAGTGAGCAACCTCGTTGGCGGAGGAAAGTTGCCAGATGACGTGGCAATGTTGGAAAGGGTGGAACAGGAGGATAAGCCATCCAGGGAACGCAAGCGAAGGTGAGAAAATCCGAGTGTGGCCGCTAGCAGCAAGCCCCGCGCTGCAATGAAAGAAATGGCTGGAACAGGCGCTGGGCGCCGAGATAACACAAGATCTGCAAGGCATATGCTTGGGAGGCAAAAGGGTGGCACCGACACTGCCACATAGACGTCAGCCCTGCGGGCGTCGAACCGACACCAAGCAGGAGGAAACCCCGGCACAACCAGAAGTTGTGGTAAGACCCTGGCCACTACAAACACAATGGCCCTCAAACATGGAAGCTCTGTGCAGGTAAGGGCTGTTTGTCACAGCTCGACATCACTCTGTTTCCTCTTGTTGTCTTGTGATGCAAGTAGGAGGGCTTTAAGCTCGGCCATGCCAGCTGCGATCTGTTGATCCTGCTGGGCTTGGGCACTGGTGAGGCTGGCAGTCCAGGCCTGGAAGTCCTGCCGAAGGCCCGAGCCCAACTGCTGTACTTCATTGCGGACCGCTCCAATGTCATGTTGGAGAGAGGCTTTGTCCCTGGCACGATCGTGATTGGCCACAGCGTGTTCCTCACGCAGCTGCTGCAACCCCTTCTCAAGCTCCGTAATGCGATTGTCCTGCTGGGACAACCTGTTGGCTGCCGCCCCATCAAGTGGGAGAGACTGGGGCACCGCGGGCTTGGCATAGCCGGGAGACTGAGAAGCACGGTAGGCACTCCAAGGGTCATTGTGAAGCCACGGGTCCTCAGCATCCTTGTGGTCACCTGTAGTCTTGGTGGCTCTGGGCACCGGGCCTCCTGCCTGAACAACTGGCATGTGCACATCACGTCCTTTGACAGCAGTGGCCAACACAGGCGTCTGGTTGAACAGCATCGTAGTGGCAGGCGGTGGGGCAGCAGAACCCAATAGCCAGAATTGGGGACCCAGGCTTTTGATGACCTTTGTCGGCCACGCCATACGCTTGGACCATTCACGGACAGCCTCGGCCGATGCAGCAGCGGGGAAGGGCCCGACCTTGAACGTCTCAGAAACCTCCAGGCTCTCTGGTATGGCGGCCCCTGGGCGAAGTTGCATGAACACTTTGCGGAAGGAGGCCGCCGGGACCCGCAAGCCAAACTTATTCTTACCCCGTACCAACCCATGCTGCTCTGCAACCAGGAGGGCCTGCTTTTCAACATCCTGGCGGCTCAGCGGAAGCCAGACAACGGCCCATCCAGAGAGGAGTTGGCGGTCCCAGGACCGTGGCACAACATACACTCGGTTGAAGCCGCTGCCCTGAAGAACCGGGCGCAACTTGCTTTGGGGAACCTTGGCGTAAAAGACAAACTGGTCGCACAGGTGCGGTTGGCTGGGCTTACCCTGGGCTCTATAGCTGCGGGCCCACGGGTGGTGCAGTGCCTCGTCAACCCCTTTAAGCCTGAAGGCCTCGACAACAGAACGGACAGGGGCAGCTGTGCAGTCACGCCATTGGCTCTCTGAGGAGAAATCTTCTTGGCACATGTTGAAAGAGCAACACACAGTGTCTTCGGCATCTACGCGGGTGCCGTGCTGGAAATGCGGGGTAATGTCAGTCTCCCCTACATTGTGATAGCAAGCAGCAATGAGATGCTGGCGCCCCGTTTGGCGATGGCGGACGGGGACGCTGGTGCGTCCTGAGCAGGTGTCCGGGTCTGGACAGCGGTGGCCAGGAATGATCACACAGAGGGCCTCAGAACCCATGTTGCGCAACAGAGCCAGGTCCTGGGCATTGGAGGCCGAGGCGTCAACGAGGACGGCTCCCGTGCAGTCTGAGGTAATCTCATCAAGTGTTGGGACCGGGCACTCATCCATGCCACACCACATGTCTGGCTCCAGGCGAAAGTCGGATGCACAGATGGGCGCCTGCTGCGAAAGCCGCTGTCTTCGCACAGCTTTCTGGATGCGGCTGGCAGCCTTTTCAGTGCGATTATCACCTGCAGGCCAGGAAAGGCCAGTCGCCTCTGCAGCAGAACACAGCTTCTGCCACTGGACTTTGGAGTCCGACTGTCGCAACGCACTGAGGCAAGCAGCCGTGCCTATGGCAGGAACGACAGAATCCACGGCCTCGTGCGTCTGTGCCAAGGACACACCCCGATCAAGCAGTAGGGAGGCAATCTTGCTTTTAGCAAAAGAGGTGTTCTCGTCCTTAGCCCCGCCACCCCTGACTTCAGGCATCACGGTGATCATGGGAAGCCGGGTGCGGGCTTTAAGGTGGCACAAACCATCCGCAAGCAATTCGGAGAGGGGCGCCATAGCCTCAATTGGGCGGGGGCCGGAGAAGACTCGGCAACCTGGCCAGGTGCCCGCGAAATCACACGCAGCCTTCCAGAGGTCCTCAACCGCCTGGGGCCGAAGGCTTCCTGGTAGGGCAACCTCGCCTATGGACCTGGCATCGACCTGCGCAAGAAAGGGTCCGACCATCAGGGCCTTCGGGTCCTGCGCCAAAGCCTTGAGCTGGGCCAAGAAAAAGAGGTCACGCAAGTACAGCCGAAGCGTGGGAGGCGTGACAAGAGGCTGCGCGGTAGCAGGCCGGAGGATCACACTCATGAACTCATCAGGCTGCGCAGGGATTGCGTCTGTCTCGGCAGCCCACCCCAAACACTCCAACAGGTGGTAGGGCAGGTGGACCCACCAATGGAGGGCGAAGGACTGTGGAACCTCAATACACAGACATGGCGCAACTTCCGTTATGCAGCAGGCACGGACTTGGTCAGTGTCCAAGGCAGGGGTGTGGAAATGAATGTCAGCAGCAGAGCCGGCGACAAAGGTAACCGGCGGGAAGTCTTGCACCTCATGGAGTTTTGCCCCGAAACAAGAAAGGCATACAACCGAAGGCTGTTCGGCGGTCCGGCACCTGTCAAAGGCCCACTTCAGCTGATGAAAGAAAGTAGTGGTGGCTGGCTGCACCACCACGAGCCCTGCTGAGGTGCACAACTGAATAGGCTCGCCGCATTGGGCACGGACACATGGGCAGGCATCGAACCTCAGTGGCCCTAGCCCCCTGACTTGAAGCGTGACCGTGGCACTCTGGCACTCGGCGGCCTCCGACCACTTGGGCTCGCCAATCAGCTCAAGCTGCAAAGCTTCAACAAGCACAGACAAAGGAATCTGTGAAAAGAAGAAGACACTGCGCAGTTTCACCGGGGTGGTGGCTTGGCGGGGCAGACACTGAATACAAAGCTCATGGAATGTGAACGGGAGCCTGTGCATGTTTGACTCAAGTTCCTCACGGAGG